TGACGGTCCAATTCCGTGTTTGCAGCGTTTCGCGCCGACTCCGCCATTACCTCCGCCATTAGCCGATGTAATGACTCAGGCCGTCGTATAGGTGGTGAGCTAGGTGGTCTGCTGGATGGGTAGGGCTGATAACGGTAGACAGCGGAGCGCGGCGTAGGTGTGAAGATGGGTGCCGTCGTCTGCCTAGCACTGAGTGTATAGGGGTGTTCGGTTGAAGGAAGAGGTCGATCGCAGGAGGGTTGGCGAGTACGACGCAAGGACTCGTAAGGTTGATGTAGAAGGCGCATCGCGCGCTCTTCACGCCGGGGAGTTATTGGTTGATACTCGCGCGCAAGTGTGAATTCGTCGTCATCAGAGGCTTCGAGTGTTGCGGCCGAACGAGCAGTCCTGGCGGCGGGAGCATTGGCAGTGTGGGCGACGCGACCATCTCGGACCTCCAGAGCAGCTTCATCGGCCCAAACGCCTTCCACAATGCGACCGGCCTCGGCGGTGCGCTCGGCTTGAACTCCACGGGTAGCTCCAGATTGACGGGCAGTACGAGCTACGACGGCATCTCGAGCCCTACGGAGTCTCTTCAGTCTCTCCCAGTCCTTCTTCAACGCGTTGTTTGCTCCGTCGGCCGGGATCCAGCTGGGGTCGTAGCGCAAACCGGTCTTCGGATCGGTGCCAGCCCATTTGACCTCATACCACAGTACGCCATCTTCCCGACGCTCCTCTTGAAGGACGCACTCGGCAAGGTGCTCTTCGTCTTCCGATTCTGGCGACGGTTCGGCGTAGTCGAAGCGTGTGGATGTGCGTGTGGAGCGGCGTGGCTTGCCCGAAGCTGGTGTATGTTAGCAAACACGATTGCGCGCCAACAATGAAGACAAGAAATGCGGAAGGGCTCGGAGATGACGGGAGGGGTAGCGGGCTACGTGCAAGGGCGGTCATACCAGGCAGGGTCGCCATAATGCGATGGGGCTGGCGCCGGCGCTACTTTGTTGGTGTGGGACGATTCTCGTGTTGGTTGGTTCGGAGCTTTGCTAGTCAGGACGCGTGCCGTCATCGCCAGGGGTTAAGCAAGCTTGGATCCGAGATGCACGTGACTACGCGTTCCGCCAATTAAACAAGGCACATCCGCGGGGTATGCGATCTTCGACGGTTGCATCCTTTGCGACGACAACGTTGCTGCAGTATGCCTTCGTGCCCTCCCCCGATCCTCCATGTAGTCGGTAGCGCAATGAAGTGGATGTACTGGTCGAGAACTGAGTGACGTACCAATTTTCGCTGTGTCGGTAATGAAGACAGATTGCCGTACGAGCAGCACCCGTGCGTCTGCAGTACAACAAGTAGTCAAAATGCTGTCTATCGATCGAGATTTTATGGGCTGTTGTCGCGTTCGCGAATTCCACCAGGGGAGCTGACGATGTCAGACGTGTTGCAATGTTGAGAGTCCATGTGGTCGGTCGAGAGGATATCTCACTGCTGGGTGTGCGTGTAGAGTCACTCTTTCGGCCGATACCGCGACGAAAAGGTCTATCACAGCTTTCGAGCGAGTGTCAGAAGCTGCGTTGCTCCGCATGATGGCCAAGCGCGAAGCACCCCGAGCTAGATCCGCGCCGTTGAGCTTGAAGATCAACATACGGCCCGCACCGCGACTGCGGCCCCGCCCAGCCCAGGGCAGTGATCCCAATAAGTCCACCAGTGAGGGCGAAGGTTGAGGGGAGCCGTGCAGATCTCTATCGCATACGATCTTGCTAGATCTATTCCGGTTTCTGCCCGAGTAAACTGTAGACGCGAAGGTTCTATGGGAGAGACGAATGGGGCGGGTGGCATGCTGTCTCCGATCTTCCGAGCCTGACCCAATTTTGGCAGCTGCATCCTCGCTCGCCACATGTTCAGCCCCACGCATAAATGTCATAAAGAGACACGATAATGTAAGGAAGGATATGCGCAATGAATCTAGATAGACTTGGGTTATTGCATGCTAGTCAACGAAGGGCGCATACGTCACCTTCATCTGTGCGGACTGCGGTCAGGGCATCTTGAGAAGAAACGGAGAGAAGCTCGGTGCATTGTGTGCTGATATCCATCTTTACATAGTATGAAGACTAAACCAACAACGATGCCATATAACACATTGCTGGGACCTCAAATCGCGTACTCCAAGGCATGAGCTGAAGAGGAGCTCACAATCGAGCGGCGTTCGTGCTTCTCACGATGAGCAGGAGGGCAAAGTCTGCTACAACTTGCGCGACCCCCTTCGTCTCCATCACCTCCACCACTGGTTTGGTGGTCGCTGTCTTCTTGCCTCCGATGGCGGTCGCGCTACCACTGGCACCCGCGTTTCCAGGCGATCTGTGGCGCCCGTGATCTTGAACCTTCTCTAGGACTGTGAGAGCTCGTCAATCTGATCTTGCGGAACATAACTCTCAGCGGAATCTCTCTGCCTCTTTCGGGTTCGTGGTAATGATGTGTGGTTGCTGTTGGTTGCCTTTGACTTCGAGGTCGACTTGGGTGTTGCCACACTCCTACGAGGCGTCTTTGGATTTGCCGTGGCTTGGGTGGTGTGAGAACGGACAAAAACCGATCCGCGAATAGCGAGTGCTGACATGCGTCTAGCCTCTTTCAATTCGTGACTCGCCTTCTCTATAGCGCGAGCCTTTTGCCAAAGGGGAAGTGCGTCCTTGATAGCTTGAAGCCGATCCGCAAGCGCCCAGTCCAGGTGGCTCTTCAGGATCGCTTGGGCCTTCGCGATCTGCTCCTCCATAGACATACTGCACGAGTACAGTTCTTTCATAAAGTATTTTCCATTGTCACCCCCTTCGCTCCAATGTAGCCAGAGCTGTAGCAGCATCATATCGCATGTAACGGACATGTGCATCGTGTAGGCGGAAGTCGCAGGTATGGTATCGCCGTACGCGGACTCGAAGTATTGCCGATGGTAATTTACGATCGTCGCGCCGTGGAGAGCAGACTTCTTCATGGCGTTAAGGATGGAATGTCCGTCTGCTGCTTCCCACTCGGCAGTGAGGAACGGGAAGGATAGTTCGGGGTTCAGCGCGAAACTAGCAATCTAACGTCAGCATGGGAATCTGGCGAGTGATCGTCAACTCACTTCTCCAGGAACTCGTCATCCTTTTCCGTCAACCCTGAGTCTACACGGGTCACGGTATCGCGGGGATTCAAGTACCCAATGGCGAGATCCGGTTTATATCTCAAGGCTTCCGAATCGGAACTTGGTGGGATTGGGACAAAGTCTGTCGTCAGGGTATAGTCGTGGCTGATATCGATGTTGGGTATGCCACGTGCGTAGCCGGTTCGCTCTCCCTGGAAGAGCAACAGCGGCTCCACCATGTCGACGGCACTCTTCTTGTCCCTGGAGCGGGCCTCTCGATGCTGACAGACGATTTCTCGTGCGCTATGAGCCTGTTCGGGCATGACCGGCGTGTTCAGCATTTGCTCCACACGCTCATTCAGCTCTTGTGGGAAGGCCTTGTCGGCACAGTCGACGATCAGATTGTGTTCGACTAGCTCGTCGATCGTGCGCCGGAACCTTTGGGAGGACGGTGTAGTCGGGGGTGCCATGCTGAGCGAAAACGAAGAAATGAGTTGGGCGGGTGGAAAGATCAATGACTGGCTGGCGATGGTCGAGGAGGCGCTTGTCTAGCAGTCACGTCGAGCATTTTGAGCTCAAGGTCGCGAAATGCAATTTGTTTGCGCGATCGCGAGAGATGTGAGCGATACATGGCGCTAACCCCATGATGGACGATGTCTGCAGCTTTCCGCAAGGCGCCCCATCGTTCTCGCAAGCCTGACCGAATCTTCTGGTGTGGATGGACGAAGGAGCAAGTGTGCCTGTGATTTATATCGTAGCAAGCGAACATGGACCGCAGTGATCTGAGATGCGAGAGTGGTGGCTGAGAATGGAGACGTGGGGTGGAGGAGGACGCGCTGCGCGCCAACCCTGAGAGCCGCCGGCGCACGCCAAGCGAGCTAGTGCGCGTCACCTGTACACTACCACACCACTCGAGATGAACGACATTGACCCGGGCAAGATTGTACGACATGCACCACCAACATATGTGTGGACACTTACGCCGGAATGTGGACAGTGAGCGAAGTGCATCGCCTACGCAAGTCACCATCGCACCTTCCAACAGGCGCCAGATAGCTGGTTGACATGCAGGCATCGATGGAGCCGGAACCAGCTCTCTCGGCGTCAAATCCACGCCGCTTGCCACTTCACAGACCTACGGGCACTCGGCATACCATCACAATAGCTCTGCTGTCAACAAGCTTCATTTATCAGCACTTCCATTCACGACACTGGCGCCACAAGTACCTTTAGCTGCGACACGGCCGAGGCGGACGCTGAAATCAACACTTTCGTCCCATGTTAGAGGCCGACATGACCGGACTGTGAGGCTTCAGCACCTCCGAATATTGAACCCCATCTTTCACACCCAGACGACTACAAAGCGACCAAGAAGGTCATGAGACGTGCTGAAGTGTGTTTCAGAGCAGACAAGCGGTGTAGACGCAAACATTGCTTCTGGGTTGGGTCAACGTCGTCTCCATGGTCGTGGATCGCAAGACCGCACACTCGAACATGGCAAACGGTTGTCAGAGCCTTGCACTGAATGTCAGGGATCGCATCATCAACCGCAACGATATCTTTCCTGGGATTGGAAAAGTATGGGCCTGCATGACATCGGGAGAGGCCTGAGGCCGACCACCTGCGCGTTCGCTATCCTGATCCGCTAAACAAGATGGCCAGAGAAGTGGGAATCCTCAAAGTTCAGAACGACGACAAGCACAAGGTCGAGGCCGCTTTACCACGGGTGAATTTCCACCACTACGGAGCCAACGGGCATTCGCGAGAATTTGATATGGAGAGGGAGGCCACGCGTGACTTCCAAATAAACAGCCTGATACAGCAGAGATCAGGCATCCGCGTGTACAAGGAGGGTTTTACGACTGGCAAAACCTTCGGTATTTTGACGAACATACACTTCAGCATGAAAGGTGCCTAGTATGCACCAGTGAAGCAGGAGGTCAGAGACAAACCCGACGAAAAGCTCAAGATCAAGGATCTCGGTATTTCCTTGGAGAAATTATGGCGGCACGACATGCACAAGTGGGCCGGCATCGTTAGCTGGATCGCTGAATGCACCCCGTTCGCCGCCCCAGGCGACAGTGGTGCTCTGATATATGCAGTGGAAGAGAGTCAAACGGTGCCCTTGGGCATACACATTGGTCGCCTGACGTTCTAGGAAGACCGCAGCATTTTGTTGGGTCTCGAAGCTTGGTTCGTGGAGGGGGAATGCCATCAGCTCAAGTTGCACTTCTGACCAGCTTGCTCGTCGTCGACATCGACTATCATTCCTCAAATTGCACGACACCCAAATACCCATTCATAGACTTAGATGATTTCATAGCACCGGCTGAGCGGCAGACGAGAATGCTACTAATGTTTCCCGCACTGAGTCTCAACTTCGCGTGACCCTCGTTTGGCCGTTACGCCAATGTTATACAAATATGAGCCTAACATCGAACAGATGTTTGAACAGGGCTTATGCAAGTCCTGGTCTTGCGTTGACGCAGGCGTCAAGCCACGTGGCGAATCACACAAGAGGCTTGCCACATATCTGAGCATCCTAGTCTACTTTGGCGATAAGCAATTTAGCATTGCAGGTAGTAGCATGGTATTGGATGCTTTTCCTACTGAACGCTCAAGGTGGGAGAAGGCTCCGTACGCGCGCAGATAGGCAATATACTTCACTGGGCTCGATACAAATAAGACTCCTACACTCACTCCACTTCCTACCTCATCAACTCAGAACTCTTATTTCACACCCACAAACCATACCCAGCCCTGGAGTTATGGCCAACAACAAATCCCTCGAGGAGCTCATCAACGGCTTCTATGGAGTTCCGCTGCCGCCACAACTTCTTACCGCAGCGACCAAGCGTATCTCCGACATCGCATGGAGAGGTGACGGAGTGGATCCGTTTTCCTCGGAAGGCGGATGGTCAACAGAAGCGCCGGACTAATTGCAGTCCATCAAGATTTGTCGTCGTCGCGCAGACCTCGAATACCTTCGCCACGGGCACCTGGACTAATTGGACCTCGCCGTTGTGATCGGCCCAAAGTCCAATGAGAAGGACTGACTTGAACGAAGGAGGGCAATGAAGCAGGAAGTGTCCATCATGCATGGCAAGCTAGCCGGTAAGCAGTCTTTCATTGCCATGACTCTCGAGGCTGATATTTCGTTTTGCAACGTCAAGATGAGCACTCACGATTACCACCAGAGAGGCCTGGAACTAGGAATCCCCCCGCTGCTCGTGAAGCCGCCTATCTCTCCCCCTTTGAAGTGTATCAACGAAGACGTCGAGTTTGGTGTTGGTGTTGATGGGGAGGTTACGTTCAATCATTGCGTGAAGCACGGGGTAATCCGCCACCTCGTTGAACCTGGATATCGCCCAGAAGTGGACCAAGGATTAGGATGTCAGGATGTACTGGGTCTATTCTTTCCCCGGAAGAGACACAGTCGAAACGGCGGGCATGGCTCACGGGCAGATCATTTTGTGATAGCTCTAACATTGCTTTTTGTTCACCCAAGTCCATGATATATACCTATATATGATTGTACGGTTCTACAGCCACCACTGATCCACTCAATAACTTCTCTTCATTCTTGTCCAATGTATACTGTCTGTCCTCGAATGAACCTGCTGCCCATGGAGCGAGCTAAGGGAATTGAACTAGTTCCGCTTAGCCCAGAAACCCGCGAGGATGGTATGCAGTATATGATGTTGGCTCTGGGCTGACATCGCGGAAACTTGCGGCAGTCGACGAAGGGCGAAGACGGTGCCCTTCCCTGTAGTCGGGATTCGAGGAAGAGTCGCAAGATGTTTCATCCAGGAAAGGATTTGTCGGGCTGACGGCATAACGACCTCCGGCACTCTTCGGTACGGGGTGCATTTCCTGGTTGTCTTCCAGATCCGAGTCGTCTCCTAGGCGTTGATGATGAGGTCCAGCGTGGCCAAGCTTACCATTGCAGTCGTCGCAACGACGTTTGCCACAGCAGCAGCAAAGATGACGTGACAGCCACGAACGCGGCATCTTGGCGTCCGGGCCGCGGATAAAGCGACCAGGATGGACTACGTTCCACACGAAGATGGCCAACCACATTGGAGCTGACTCCAGAACGTACAGGAGAGGCTCGTTGCTCGGAAGAGGGTTGCTTGCGCCAAGACCAGCGGAGAACTCGGCGAGACGATAGATAATGCGAATAGTGATAGCCAGCAAGCATGCGTAGAGCGCGTACAACAACCATTTCCAGCCACCAATCTTGTCCGCGGGTAAGCGTCCCAGCCTCTCCGCCTGGAGCTGATCGCGGTGAAACTTGATGACCAACCCCAGGAATAGAACAATGAAGCCCTCCTGCATACCAATACCGCCCATGTATATGTTCAGGCCCTTCTTTTGTGCTTCTGGACTCGCGCCTGGACCTGCCATTCCACCGCCGACGAGCTGGATGACAAAAGAAACGATGTCGAGGGTGACGAAGATGAGTGCGAGGATGGAGGGGGAGAAGATCCAGACCTTGCGAGTGGGTGAGTAGTAGTGAACGATGCGGGCGAAGACCATGTAGGCGAAGGCGTTCACCCAGATAGGCGCTACCAACACCAAAATCTGAGCGACCATTGCGATGCCGGAGGATTGTTGATCATTGGAACCAAGAGCTCGAAACGCATATGCGCCAGTTTCCCAAAGAGCGGCCATGATGATAACCCAGCAGAAGCCGTTGCGGTACACGATTGCTTGAACCAGATGTGCGATTGTGAGCATACCAAACAGGACAGAGAAGGCTACTGCCGCGGCGAAGTTGGGAAAGTATACCCACAACGCATTGCATGCCTCCGCAGGGACGTAGCCATCGAGCCCGGGAGTTGCGTACGAGCTGAAACCGGGCGTGCAGGTCTCAGGTGGAAGGTCGAGTGAGAGAGATGGTATGGAAGGTTCTGCGACCGATATTGTGGGAAGGTCTAACGAGAACGGGGCAATGCTTGGTGCGAAGTCGTCATCACGACGAGAAGGCGGAGCGGTTGCTGATGGAAGAGAGCTTATGACATCTCTAGTGGCAGTGGCTGGGGAGGGTATTGACGTGGGTGTGGGTGAAGCGATGCAGTGGAAGGGCAGTAGGAAGGCGCTGAGAAGCGCAAGTGTATATCTCATGGTATGAGCAGCACGGGAAGTAGATGTAGATATCTGTGATGTTTTGTGCGGGCAATGAACCCACGGGGCATTTCACCGTTATACATATTGACTAAAGGAAGCTGTTGTTGATACATACGTAGGCAGTGCTGCTCTAAGGTCGTGGACAGCGAGGCTGAGGATGGAAGACGTACGCACCTCGCAAGCCTGTCTCGATCGGGCGGCTGAGACATGTACTGTAGATGTTGCTTGCGGATGGGGCGTAAATGGCTTGCATAGCGTGGCTGGCGGCTGTAAGCAGCCACCTCCCCATATTTGATGCTGGAGAGTCGCTTAGCCCCTGGTAGGGATCGCGCGTGCGAAAGACTTTGGGTGATAAGGTGCAGCTCGTGCTGGAGAATGAATTGCCGTCGACATGGTGGTACAATGGGTCCGGTGGTGAGAGACGTTGACCGTGCAACCGCTCCGAACCGATGTGCGTGTTGAGCGCGACACCAGGGTTGCACTCCTTGGAGGAATTCTCCCAACTAACCTGGGAACGAGGCGGAGCGCTACGGTTAATGCGTAGGGCGCCTTACCAGTTGGGCGACGTTCGCAACTCCCGCTCAGCCTTCTGCCGCACGTTTGAACATGTCCCTCCTTCTGGAAGTAGAGCGGAGCAGACGTATCGGCGTGGAAGGTAGGATCTAGAAGCCGTTATGCGGACGCCGGTTGCGTGGCCGTTGAAATTTGCATGGCAGGGACAGGAACACGGCGCGGACAGGGGTGAGCGAGACGGACACCCAGATGAGAACCAGCGCAATTCGAATGAAGAGCGCCGCGAGCCGCGGAGACCGAGCATGAAGGAGAGATGGAGATGAGGGTAGGGGCCTGGAGGGCGACGAGACGAGGGGCATCGTCCACGCTAGTCCGGTTCTGGCAAAGTCTGTACCGAAAAAAACCATGGTGTAAACAGTGGTTGCAGAACACATCCGAATGCCACCCTCCGACCGAAGACCATGAGATATCCTGGATGTACTTGCAGAAACCGATTGACGCCACAATAGAACGCCAATTCGGCGGTAGCGTTGACTGCTGTCAATGTCGCAAGTGGTGCCATGATGTTTGTGTTGCGCCCTTGAACATGGGAAGAGTCATCTGCGCGTACTGAAGCTATTGTGCCTCACTCGGACAGAAGTCGCGGTTTCGATCAAAAACTGAGCGTTTGCAGCGGTCACCTGACTCCACCCACGGCGCCACTCCATAATTCACATTCGGGAGCTGGAGCGGCGGCCTAGACGACATCAATCTCTACACGACCAACGCTTTAATTAGCAACCACCCATAGCTTCCCTACGATGTCCCTCGGCAGTCTCCATACCGATGCAGTATACGCGGCAGCGCAGGTAGTTGAAACACAAGGCCGCGGCCTCATCACTCGACCGGCTACACCCGACTGGGCCGGGTCATACGACTTTGACTTCGTCCTGGATCTTGACGAGAGCCTACGTTTGCTCCTTGATCAAATGGAACATAGAAGAGACCACTACGGCCGTGATGCTATCGAGTCGCGTCCTGCCCATACACCGGAGGCGATCTTGGCGAAGCATTGCGGCACCGAACATGGGAAGGCGCATCGCGAGGGCAGAATGACCATGGGCGCTTCTACACCGGAGGAAGACTACATGCGGGATCTTTGGGAAGGCGTACCTACCAGATACAAACAAAACATTCCCTTGCCACAGCTCTACCCCGACTACACTAGGAGCGTCGGCGTCGCAGCCACGGCACCACCTTCTCACCAAACCAGCGAATCTACTGTCATCCAAAAGCACTCTCGCGGTTCAAGCAGCAGCGACACCGATGATCAAGACGCCGTCTTCTCTCGGCCACAGCGAGGTGACTGGACCGTGTTGATCAGGCCGTCCGAAACCCCCAGTCAAGGTACCTTTCTGCACGACTCCACCTGCGTCCCGAGATTCCCCGCACGTAGGGTCAAAGATGCGTCTCCATGGATGACATCTGAATGAAACGAGCGAAATCAGAGTCTGAGTTTCCAGCGCACACGATATCGATACTTGCCGAGCTTCCGACATCTGTGGCCGATTACGTCAAGAATACCAGCGAACGATGCGCCGGACGGTTCACAAGCATTTGGGCAAAGATTGGTACGCGGCACTTGTTTCCACAATGCTATCATGCCATTACCTCCCTATGTCTCCATTTCCAAGACCAGTATGCGGCGGACGTCAAGTGCCAGGCGCGATCTTTCGATACAGTCGAGATACGGCATGTCATTGGGTCTGGCTCACATGTGTGCGAAGAAAGTGAAGTTATGCTCTTTCTACGACACTCTCAGCTAGTAGTTGCGCTTGCAACGCGCTGCTATAATGAGCTGCGTCGCTTCGTAGCCTGGTCACTTGGAAATAATTGGCAGTGGAGATGACGCAAAGATCTTTCCTGTACAACGCACAAAATAGTCATATGCTATGAATGAAAGAGATCCAATAAGCTCAAAGCCACAAAGCTATTTAACCCATGAACGTAGCCTACATGTGTCTGCTTCGTGAACTACTAGTGCGTTTTTGGAGTGCCACATACAATACAACTACTGCCACGAAGGGGGTGCTTGAACGTTTCCTTGCTACACGCGCTTGCTTCATCTTGATCTCGATTCTATGGCCAAAAGATGACCTGACGAAGTCTTCCACCGTCGGCAACTCCCTTTTCCAATTCTGAAACATGAGGTATCGGGGTTTCATGAGACCGAGGAGAAGGAGACCAAGGTTTCGCGTTGGACATACGAGCTTTCGCGTATACCGTGTTGATGCAAGCGGACCCGAAAATTGATGCAGGCGGAGCTTGCGGGTCACACTCCCCCATAAGGGCTGTGAGTCCATATCGATCCCATTGCTATGCGCCAAAACACATGAAGCGCGCTGATGCTAATGGCGCCAGCATTATCTCCCAAGTGTCGTCATAGCAAGCATGAAGACCTGACTGGATGGATAAGAGTCGTTCTCAGGCACCAAGCCTTCTAACATGTTCTCATGACGTTCTCCATGTTCGGTGGTGAGAGCGAGGCTGCGACATTGTGGCCATTAAATATCAATAGAACCTGATACGCTCACACAATGTATACAGGATCGCGATCTTAGCTCAACAGTCAAGGTTGCCCAAACTTTTCTCGTTTGAGGAATACGAGAAAGCGTAATACTTTCGGCATCACCTGATACGGTATTGTATCCAGGAACTGCCCATCTCCCCATGTACGGGTGGTGGTTTCGCCCTCAAGATGCGACCAACTCCCAGTCTTGATCCTTCTCAGCTTCTTTTGCATGTCCATTCACACTCGCATCCAAAGACCTGTTCACAGCATCTCTGCTAGCCGCCTTAGCACTGCCACTATGCGCCGACGCCATCACCGCTTTTCCATCCAACTCTCCAGCGCGTCGCCCTGCATCCGCGGTGTCAAAGGCGCCGAGCATCCGCGCGTACTTGTTGGCTCCCTCTGCTGTCTTCTTCTACCCTATGGGTCAGCGCATAGAAGATTTTGGGTGGACCAAGTTCTTACGACGATGGACTCCACCCTGCGTCGGATAGGCAAGCGCTGGCTATGTTCCCCCAACGATTGCTTGCAGTCCATGTGGAAGATGAATTCCTCTGCATCTCGCTGAACGGCCCGCAGTTCTTGCCTGATACGCAGCGCGCGTTCGTCAAACTCGTGTAAGAAGGCGCGATCGCGCAGGGTCGCGGCCTGCAGTGCCGTTTTTTCTGCTTGACACTTGGCTTCCAGCGTCGCAAAATGGTCCTGGAGCTTGCGGCAGGAAACACTGTCGTCGGGAGCTGTCGCCATGTTCTCGCGATGCACTTGCAGCACGCTCGTGTATGCAGGTCTGGGGTGTTTGGGGAAGAATGTGTCTCGAAGAGAGAGAGAAGAAGATGGTCGACACTGATAGAAAGGAGAGCTCAGGAGGATAGAATGCAGTAGCTGTTTGATCCCATCGTTCAGATTGGATGTGTGTGAGGTGAGTGAGGATGTAGAATGCTCCGTAATGCTTGTCGTTGTGTCGCAGGTGAAGGTGATGAGTGAGCCGTGAAGGTACTATCAACCACGGTTCCACCCCGTGGAAAAAGGATAGACCGCATACTCAAGTACTGGGGTCAGAACAGGCTGGAATAGACACAGTGGTAGTAGTAATATGAGAGAAGAGGAGAGTATTTATTCTTCGTAGCTACAACTACCAGCGATATACGAAAAGGGAACGTAATATTCTAGATGATTGCGAGTACATGGATGACGCATGGGATGATGGGGATGAAGATGTCAAGGACAGTCGATGATGTCTCCGATGTGGGGCTAGTCCTCTTGCGGTCAAGCTTCAATTGTGCACGTGAGGACGCACTACGCGAGCGCGAATCTGGTCCAACGCGACCCCGCAATGACATCTCGCGACAGCGCTCCTGGTGTTGCGTGTCTGCCGTCCACACATCTTTCCCCATCTCACGCTTCACAACAAAAGATCAATTGCGTGATCGCGGTTCCTCACCGTCAGTCTCGTCGCGCCATGACTATTCGAGCTGGAACTCGCCCCAAGCGCACCGTTGTCGAGCTCCTCAGGAGCCGGGGTGGCTGAATCATGCGCAGGCGATTT